AGGCGCCCAGCAGGGTTGGTTTCTTTGGAGGTCTCTCTCCTTGGCTTTCAGATGACTGCCTTCTTTCTGTGTCTTTACATGTTTGTTTTTCCTTTGTGATTACATACTCCTAGCATCTTTCTCTATAGGTTCTAATCTCTTCTTATATGGATACCAATCAGATTGGATTAGGGCCCACCCTATCAGCCTCATTTTAACTGAATTGCCTCATCGAAGGCTCTATCTCCAAATGTAGTCACATTCTGGGAGTTAGGGCTTCAACATACAAATTTGGGGAGACATAATTCAGCTCATAATACCTCATCTCCATACCCCCCCAAATTCATGTGCTTCTCACATGCAAAACACATTAACCCTCCTCCCAACAGCCCAAAAGTCTTAACTCATTTCAGCCTCAATTCTAAATCCTGAATCTCATCTAAATCAAATGTGAGACTCAAGGCATGATTCATTCTGAGGCAAAAATTCCTCTCTAGATGTGAACCTGTTGAAACCAGATAAATTATCTGCTTCTAAAATACGGTGGTAGAACAGGCATAGGTTAGACATTCCTATTCCAGAAGGGGTCATGGGTCCCAAGCCAAGTTCAAAACTTTGCAGGGTAAACTCCATTAGATTTTAAGGCTCAAGAATAATCCTCTTTGGCGGGATGCTCTGTCCCCCAGGCAACTCCACCCCTCTGGCCCTGGGTGATAGCCTGGTCTATTGAAACCTAGGAGGTAGCCCTGCCCTCTGGAACCAAGGAGGAAGAACTAGCCTTGTCTCCTAGACCTGTGCCCGGTGCTGGTGGAATATACGCTATCTTCAAGAAACTCTTTATATATAAAGACCGAGATAGCTTAAAAGCAAATACATGGAAAAAATATACCATGCACACACTAACCTAAAGAAAGCTGGAATGGTTATGTTGCTGTCACATAATAATAAAAAATTCATCAAGAAGACATAATAATCATTAATGTGTATGCACTCAATAACAGAGCTTCAGGATACATAAAACAAAAACCAGTAAGTAAGAAAAATAAGCAAATCTGTAAGTTTAGTTGGTATGGTAGCCAGCTTCTAAAAAGGCAAAGGAAACAAAACAATTCTGGTAAATCTTCAGATATAAGGTTATGCTTCTATAGGCTGGGCAGTTGCAGATAATAGGGTTACGACTCAGGATGAGTCTGAATGGTTCCTGACATCAATAGTAAGCTTATCCAAAGCTACTGAATGGCACTGAGGAAACTGTCTTGGGTTGTCCAATAGATAAATAATCAGCTAAATATATACTAAACATTCTCTATACACATAATACTGTGCTAGGCACTTTAGAAATATAAGACATGGTTCTGGCAGTGAAATAACTTTCCTAGTTGGAGAAATAAGAATCTCAAATATGAAATACAAACTAATAAGCTATGCAGAACTCACTAGAATTCACTTACTCATTTAAGTTACTGAGCAAGTGGTACTTGTTGATGTGGTGCTAATTTTAAGATGAAAATTATATAGTTCATGTCTTTAACAGACAGAAAGGCTAGAATGGAAAGACAGATATGAAAACAAGTAAGTATATGCGTTGTAGGTACTACAGAAACCTTAAAGAGCGAGCGGCACATTCTTCCTAGGGTTTCAGGAATGGATACATAGAAGAAATGATGTTTGAGCTGAGCTTAAAAACTCAGATTCCTATTTAGGTATTGCCCAGGAGACAAAGTAGGGAAGGGCATATTAGGCAGAAGGATCAATATGAGCAAAAGGTCAGAAGTATAAAAACTTTAAGTAGTTTAAAACTAAGTGGTTGGGTATGCTTTAAGGCTAGGATGAGAAGAGATGTGCATTTAATAAACAGGCCAATGAAAGAAAGCCTTGTAGGATAGGATAAGGAGTATGGAATTTATCCATTCTGTCTTCTTCTGTCTCTTATTCATTCAACAAATATTTATTGAGCAGATACTATATGCTAGGCATTATTCTTGGGATAGACAAGGCTCCTGTCCTGTCCTCATGAGGGTGTTATTGGGGGGTGGTGGTGGCAGGTGGCAGTGAAAGGCACAGGACACACAGAGTTGGATAATACAAATGTCAGCAGCAGAGGGCTCTACATCCCCCAAAACAAAAATGTAAACACACCACACACCCACAAAATAAACCAATGTGCATATTTGGCAATGATTTGGGTCTTAATGTTTCTTCGGCTTCAAAAACTAAAGTAAACCTTGATCATAATACTTTCATGGACCAATCATTTTGTAGTACTAGGGGTCATCTTTCTCAATAGCCTGCACTGTCCCCTTAAATTCTTACTTGTGGTGAGCTGGCAGAAAATTGGTTGGTTTCTCCACCAATCTTTAGCAGCCAAGGAGAAGCTTACAGAAGGTGGTGTTAGTTGCTGTATTCCTTTACGGATGACCTAAGTCCCCTGTTTCTCAGGGTTCCCAGGGAAGCCTGCTAAAGACACAACTTCACACACCTCAAGCAATAACTTCAGTGACTGAAGAACATTCTCAGTCAAGAAGAAACAGATTAACACAATTCATGTATGTGAGCAAAACTCTTTTGATGATTACTGTAGCTTGATTGTAACATAATGTATAATGGCAAGCCGATTAATGAATTCTTGTTTTCATTTATTTAAAACTTTCTGAAAAATTCTTAGTTTGAAATTTCCTATTTTGGTCTCACTCTGGAGATATTTTTTTTCCCTTAGAAAAACTGAGTTAAGTTCATTCAAGCATATTTGAAAACAGAACTAAGCAGAAATACTTTTTTCATTTCAAAGACAACCTGTTATACAAAGAAATAATTTAATGCCAGTTCAATTTTGATATATCACTATGTCAGTGCTTTAAGAAGCACTGTTCTTTTTTTTTTTCTTTTTTAAAGATTTAATTTATTTATTTGACAGAGGGAGAGAGAACGCACAAGCAGGGGGAGCGGCAGGCAGAGGGCGAAGCGGGTTCCCCACTGAGCTGGGAGCCCCGATGCAGGGCTCGATCCCAGGACCCTGGGGGATTATAACCTGAGCTGAAAGCAGATGCTTAACCGACTGAGCACCCAGGCGCCCTAAGAAGCCCCGTTCTTCTGTAAAATTCTGAAGTAAAAGTTTTTGAAATTAACGAGGCATGCATTCCGCTTCCAGTGGGTTTTCAGTTGCATTTTCACTACATGGTTATTAATGTCCTTTAGCTCTTAGGAATCCAATTTCATTCTGTCCTTTACATTCTTCATCCCTCTTTCAAGAAGAGAGAATTTAACATTTCTATGGCAACATGCTAAATTTGAGAGGTAGGCTTTACCTTTACTCATCAAATAAGTAAAGTAGATAACTAATTAGGCTGCTAAATATGTCTACTAAGGCGATATCCATACCATGGAGAAGTAAGTACAGCTCTAAGACTCCAGTCTGCACTTCTTGATCTGTGGGTTGACATTGCTGTCATACCATGGAAGTGTCTGTATTTAACACAATTTTCCTTCACACATTATGAGTAAACAAACAGTGTTAAATAGCAAGGATTTAGCTAGAAAATAGCATATAGATTCAAAATTCTGGAGAATTTTAGTAAATTTACAGCACGAATACAATTAAGTCTCTCAGTTGGTATAATCATGGCCTAGTTAGGGATATCATCAACCCCTCTGTAAACTAGGAACTAAAGGGGCTTAGAGTTAATGTTTTAGAAACTGTTCTATTTCTCTTTTTCTGTGTTTATTCAATCTTTCTTTCCTTCACTCTCCATGTCTGCTCTCTATAGCTATCCTCATCCATTTTTTTCTTTTTAAAAGATTTTATTTATTTGAGAGAGAGAGAGCACGCTTGCAAGCATGAGTGGGTTTGGGAAGAGGGACAATGGGAGAGAGAGAAGCAGATTCCCTACTGAGCAGGGAGCCCAACTCAGGGCTTGATCCCAGGACCCTGAGATAATGACCTCAGCTGAAATCAAGAGTTGGACACTCAACTGACTGAGCCACCCAGGCGCCCCTATCTGCTTCTTTTATCCCCAGTTTTTGTCTCCAGACTAGCCTTTCTTTATTGAACTAAAAAAAAAAAAAAAAAAAAAAATCACAATATGAACAAAAGAGAATCATTGGATTTTTACAGGCAACAGTATGCAGAAAATGTATCATGGGGAGCACCTAAACTAATTCATCTAATAGTTCTTTCACTTAAAAACGTAGTATGTTGTAACCCACTATTCCCTAGAGACAACTGTAGTTACTTGCTACTGACTTGTCAAGAATCCTTTATCCAGGGGCACCTGGGTGGCTCAGTGGGTTAAGCATCTGCCTTCGGCTCAGCTGATGATCCCAGAGTCCTGGGATCGAGCCCCACATCCGGCTCCCTGCTCAGTGGGGAGTCTGCTTCTCCCTCTCCCTCTGACCCTCCTCTCTGCTTGTGCTCTAGCGCTCTCTCTCTCAAATGAATAAATAAAAAATCTTAAAAGAAAAAAAAATCCATTATCCAAGTATCCTTAACTCAGATTTTCCTTCAGTGGCTATAATTATTAGTGGTCATCACTTTTATGAAATAAAGTATGGCATGTTAGCAGACTATCCTTAAGCCTCTCCTTTTTTTCTCTGAAAGATTTATTTTAGAGAGAGAGAGAGAGCAAGCACGAGCAGGGGAAGGGGCAGAGTGAGAGGGAGAGAGAGAGAGTCTCAAGCAGATTCTGCGCTGAGCACGGAGCCCAACTAGGGGTTCGATCTCAAGACCCTGAGATCATGACCTGAGCAGAAACCAAGAGTTGGGATGCTTAAGTGACTGAGCCACCCAGGCACCCCAACCCTCTCCTTTCTAAGCAGCCCTTTCTGATACTTGAGCAAGTTACACTGAGGGAAGAATAAAGTGGTACTTCTTGCAAATGGTAATTCCTATTATCTATTGAAGAACTGCCCATTGCTAACAATCTTGAATCTGAACACTGAACTTCCCAAAGGAGCTCCTATTGCCCCAACCTAAGTAGCAGCTGAATTTTATCAGGGTCTTGTCAAAGTTCAAATGAGAGACTTACCTGTTCCTGGGTCATCTTCTGCAACTCATTCTCCCAAGCTGCCTGGTCATCGTCCAAGTTATAGGAAGCTGGTGGAGTGAGTCCACGAAGTATCAGGGGGTCTCGGTCATGGCAGAGGGCTGTCAGGTGTCCAATATACAACTTTAATTTGCTTCTATTTTGGTCGAGTTCTAAGAGGGGCTGGATGATCTGAAGTGAAAAAATTGAGGAAAGTCAAGGTCATTCTGAAACAAGAAGTTCAAATATCTTCATGCCTCCCAAGTCAAAGAAAACTGACCAAAGACTAAAGCTCCTCTAAGCACCACTGAAATCTTCAGGATTGTAAAAAGATACAGTTCCACACACTTGCACATTTATACTTGTCACACCCATTTCTGGGAGACAGGGAATGTTTGGCTTAGTCTATCAACATGAAACTGAGAGTTTCGTATTTAGGCAGGGGATTAAACACACGACTAACTTGTTTTTACAGAGATGACATTCCTGATACAGAAAGACTCCAGTTACCTCACAATTTCTCTTCCCATTTATTTATGAGTGGTTATAAAAAACTGCTAGTGAAATTTGCTCACTGAAAGCCTGGACAACATATACTTCATGTGTTCCTTCACCTCCTGGAATGGAAGAAAAATTCTGTCTCTGGAGAAGGTGCATGTTTTTCTTGGCCATGAGATGTGATGAGTGAACTCATTACTAAATCTGCCTCATCCTGGCTTAAGCTCCCCTCATTCATTTCACAGAGCTATCCGATATTCTTTTTAAACAGTGATTGATAAATCCTTACATAACACCAAACACCTCACAGCCAAGGACTCTGAAATTCTCTCAGTTGTAACACTCGTTTGATGTTTTTCTTGAAAAACAGTCCTACATTAAAAAAAAAAAAATTTTTTTTTTTTTTTTTTTTGCTATTTCCTTTACCCTGGATGAATAACTATCCCTTGACTCCCTTTGGAAACACGTTAAATGACAGCTGGCTTCTGCCTCAGAATTTCATCTGACAGCCCTCATGACAATACTCTGGTCAGGTACTTGGTAGTTGGTCAAAGCCTGAGGAAGAGTTGGGCCCGATCTCACATCTCAGAATGCTGGAATGTTAGAGCAGCATCTGCTTGATCCACAGCAGCTGTGAGAGCTGCGAAGCCCCACCAAAATGCTGGCAATTCTCAAAATGTTCCCAGGGCTTACAAGGCAGAGGTCTGTACCTGTTGCATGTCACTGGGCTGGCATTTTCCATGCACAGGACACCTCTGACCCACCTCATGAATAAGGAGCTCAATAATCTTCATTTTCAGAAACAAGGACTGGTATTACTTTCAAAAGTGACACCGATTTCTCCCTGGCCTCCTCAGAGGCCCGCTCCTGCTGCTTTTCTTCGTTTCTCTTTCAGAGTTTTTAACGCAGTTTTGTATTTTTTATTATGAAATCAATATTTTACTTTGAAAAATATGGGGAAAAAAGTGTAAAAGAAATAATAAAATAGGCATAAGTGTTCCAACAAGACTAACATTTGCAACACTGATTTTCGTCTTTTTATAAACTTTTATAAATCAGCTTTTAATAGTATCACACTTCATATTTCCCTTGATACATATTGCTTATCCATTTAATGTTATGAGTACTATTCAAACATCACGTATTCCTGGAAAACATGGTTTTTAATGGTTGCTTTATAAATAAATCACATTTCCTCTGTTTCTGATGTTATTTCCATGAAATAATTGAGAGTTTAGTCGCTAAAATAATCTTTAGCTTATTAAAAAGATCAGAGTTCAGAGTTTAGGCCTATAGGGTATTACATATTATAGAAATTCAAATACAAACCAGAGAAAGTAAATCAACTTAGCATTATTTTATTTTTTAAACTCACATACACAATTCTTTAAGGATAAAGGTTCAATGCTTAGGTGCTGGTGTGGAAGGTTCTTGGGCTCTGTAAGAGACCCCTAGCAGCAGGCTCATGGTACCAGTTCTGTGCTGGCCTTTCCCACCTATGACAGACGTATCGACACTGCCAATCACAGAAGGAAGAGACTGTTTCTTTCTTTCTTTTTTTAAAAAGATTTTATTTATTTATTCATGAGCAAGAGAGAGAGGGAGAGAGGGAGAGAGGGAGAAGCAGGCTTCCCACAGAGCAGGGAACCCGATGAGGGACTCAATCCCAGGACTCTGGGACCATGACCTGAGCCAAAGGCAGATGCTTAACCAACTGAGCCACCCAGGCACCCAGGAAGGAATTGTTTCAATAAAGCAGAGGATTTAGAGAGTGAGGAAGTTGGATAACTTTTCATAAACATCATCAATCTCTCAAAAAGAATTATATTTTATTTCTGATCACAAATGCATACTTACTGCAGAAAATTTTATAAAGAATTCTAAAGCATAATCTTAAAAGCAATTTAAAAGCAATATTCCTTTAAATGAATGTATACTTTACACTTTAGTAACTAAACTGCCTAGTCATGGTTCTATTACCACACACCACATCCCTGAGGCCTTCAAGCAATGCAGCCCTATTTCATTTTACATTTTTTTTTTTTTTTTTAGATTGGCCTTGTCTTCTTTCACACACACATTGATAACTTCGGGGGCGGGGTTCACTTTTGGGATTTCCACTTATTCCCATTCTGTGTGTGTGTGTGTGTGTCTATAGTTGTTATCACATCTGGGCTGCAAGGCTGAAAAAGCTGGTATCTTAGGTAATAAATGTTTGAATGGGCAAACTGGCATAAAAAAGTATGACCACAGAGGAAGGGGACAATGTGATAAATGGTAGTAATGGAGAAGTCAAATTTCTTATAAGTAAATGGAATTTAGAAAGATACTACCTCACCACTATATAACTTGAGATGAAAAAATTGATGTTTTAGGTCCTTGTTCTTAATCAAAGATAAATTTCAAGCTGATTTAAATGCATTTCATATTGAAGTGCTGATTAAAAAACGAGTTTTTCGCACTCTAGAATTTTTCAAAGTCCAAGTTGAAAAGTTAAAATATGATGGAATTTGACATTTTTTTCCAGGATAAAGATTTATTCCATGTAATAACCCAGATGTCTATACTTTCTTTCCATGCCAATGGGAATTGCTTTAAAAAAAACAAAACAAAACAAAACAAAACCCATAGAGTTTACTATGTGAAAGCATAAGAAACAGCCCAAGTAGCACAGTTCCCAAATCTACCCACTAAAAAAAAAAATCACTTTGGCCTCTCTGGGACACATTTAACCACGTCAATCATGTGGGAAATGCCTTTATCTCTTCCTTTTCCTCTCTGACTTGGACAGGCCACTTAGAAAAGAAATTGCATTTCCCACAAGGTAGAACTGCCCCTGCCTAATCTCAAGAGGGAAGAGGGACGCTTGCAAAGTAGAATGAGGATGCCTTACAGGATCCATAAGTTATGTCTTCTGTCCACATACAACCTCAGTACATTGGCAAGAAGTCCTACCAAAAACTATGAGAAATGTGGTCAGGCCACATTAGCTCTATAGCTATACAGAACAATAATTATACACCTTTTTTGGCAAAAAGAAGTTAAAAAATGAACTTGCCAAAACAACTTCTGTTTGTATCAAATATAATGCCAAATGGCAATAGTCCCCCAATCCTATATTTACCAAATTGTTAAGGAAAAGAATTTAAATTGTAAAAAGGGATGAAGAGACCTTTTGATTGATGTACTGATAGTTTTGTTTCTTCTTGCAAGGATTTGCTTATGTACTAGGTTCTCAAACTGACTTCACAGGTCAGTGTTTGATGACATATGGTGACAGAGGACAGTGATCTTCTGAGGTGTTTATTTTAACCTCCTTTCCACTTAAGTGAGATTAGATGGGTAAAGGTCTTTTGGAAGACAGATGAGTTGCTCCTGTATTGTTCGATGTAGATTGTAACTGAAAATTCCACAGTATTCCATTTCTGCAACCCATTTATCTATGATATCTGAACACACTTTCTTAGACCATTTGACTCTTCAATACGAGGATGGAATGTGCAGAGTGAAAGACTCCAAACCAGTCCATTATACAGCCTGCTTTTCTCTTCTTATTCTACTGTTTCCGTGTCAGACATTTACTCTAAGTATGGGTTAGTTGGTTGTAACACATTCTAGGAACTCACTTTGAAACGAATGGTATATCTATATCATAAAGACTGAATGGATAGGTACTGAATATTATTTGGGACTTAAGGTATTTGCTGTTGGGGTAACTAATATTTTGTTGTTTGGAAGATACCATTTTTTAAAAAGCTAACATTTATTGATAATTTACTGTGTTCCTTGTAAATTATTTTTAAATTTACTATGATTCTTCTGTGGCTAGCTGACCGCCCTTAATTGGCTACAAAATCTTTTTGTTCTTCTATCTGCTGCTGAAATCTTCAGAGGCAGGTTCAACTGTCCATACGTTAACGGCATAAATGCTAGTGGTAGTTCTGATTTCTCATTGGGTTACCATCATACTTCTGTCATGTAGGTACATCAAGAAAGTCCCAGAACAACTAACATATTAACTTCCCAGAGACATTACTCTCTTAATTGCATTCTTTTTTTTTTTTTTTAAAGATTTTATTTATTTATTTGACAGAGAGAGACACAGTGAGAGAGGAACACAAGCAGGGGGAGTGGGAGAGGGAGAGGCAGGCCTCCCGCTGAGCAGGGAGCCCGATGCGGGGCTCGATCCCAGAACGCTGGGATCATGACCTGAGCCGAAGGCAGGCGCTTAACGACTGAGCCACCCAGGCGCCCCCTCTTAATTGCATTCTTGTCCGGAGGCCCCAGCAGAGAGCTAACTCTGAAAAGTAAATAAGGAAACAAGAAAATAAAATATATCAATCTAGTCTCAAAGTCTTTTTCCCCCTCAAAAACTAAGTTTATCTTCTTGACCAATAACATACCCCAGGATCAGAAAGATGAAGGACGGTGTTAAGTCCCTTCACAAAGGTTTAGAGCTTTGTGTTATGTTCTCACTTAAATACAGCTATTTGGTGAAAGAATAGAGTTGTTTGAAAAATATAGTAATCCTTATAATACTTTGCCTACATTGATTAGATATACTGCATATCAAATGACATATATTGAAAACTAAAAAGTTATCTAATTCACTTAACAAACATTTAGTGAATGTCTCTATGCCATGCCATGTCTGGTTTTAGCTGATGAGAATACTAAGAATAAGGTGTGGTTCT